GAGATGTAGGAGGGGCCTGAATATAATGTTATACCAAAGAACTTGGGAGTTTATTCTTTAGGACAGTGGGAAATACTGATTTTAAGCAGGGAATACTTAGGATAAGATTGACATATTTCGGAGTATGTAGACAGCAGAATGTGACACTTAAGCTCCAGTGTCCCTTGCTTATGTGGAAACCCTCAAAAGTCCTGGAATAAGTACTAGAAATGAGTTTTATGGTCAACTGTTTTCTGAAATAGGAGTATATTTTAACTGCAATGGTCTATTTCTACTGTAACTCACTTCTTTACATTTTCCCCTAGGGTGTAGGCATTTTGGAAACCAGCTAAGGTGAAGTTTAGGATTATTTAGTAATTTTTTAAAAAATAATCATATATGTTGTAAAGATTTTATTATTTTATTCATGAGAGACACACAGAGAGAAGCAGAGACACAGACAGAGGGAGAAGCAGCCTCTCTGTGGGGAGCCTGATATGGGACTCGATCCCAGGACCCTGAGTTGAAGGCAGACGCTCAACCACTGAGCCACCTAGGGGTCTCTAAAGATTTTTTACAGATTTTTTTTAAAAAAAATATTATTTATTTTAGAGGGACAGACAGATAGCAAGAGCAGGTGGGGCAGAGGCATAAGGAGAGAGAATCTCTAGCACATTCCCTGCTGAGAGTGAAGCCTGAGCCTGGGCTGGATCCCAGGATCCTGAGATCATGATCTTCTCTGAAATCAAGCGTCAGATCCTTAACCTACTGCACCACCCAGGCGCCCCTAGCAATAAATTTTAAAGTAGTTTGTAATTACATCTGTGCAAAACTAAGTTATTGCTAGCCATCCTGGTATAGACATAGCTTTTGGTAATGATCTTCCCAGCGGTTTAAACGCAAAGATAAGGGCCAGGCGTCATACTATGATATACATATACTTACCATAATATGTATATGTATATATACTCATTATTTTGTATCTTTCTTAAAGAAGGACACTAAACCACATAAATTTCAGGACCTACAAACCAGGGTCTTTACCTGGAGCAATATGAGACAGGACTAACTCAGTAAATTATTGTAGACTTTTTTTTCAGCCTCACGAGACAGGAAGACCTGAACCAAGGAGGTGATGGTAGAAATGGAAGGGAAAGGTTAAAATGCAAGTTCCCTACAATCTAGGGAACTTGGCACCTGTTTTGATTTGGGGGTTTAGCTTTGCAATAGGTTATCGGCGTGAATAACTGAAAGGATGGAGGAGGCCCAGTCATGGACAAAGAAAGTTAAGGGAACCGTAAATTTGGGTGGAGGATGAATCCCATGTGGGGTTTGTTGCATTTCAGGTGTCAGACGGGTACACAAAAATGCAGGTCTGCGGCCCAGCGAGGCACCCAGGTATTGGGGGATATAACTTATTATTTTCTTTTCTGGAAGCCACTTACCGGGTTTTTGTTTTGTTTTGTTTTGTTTTGTTGGCCGTTGCTCTCTAGTCCTCAGCGCAGGAAGCGGCAGCCGCTTCCACGCCCCCAGAGCTTCCCAGCGGCGCCCGCTCACGGGATGTGCGAGCAGCACTTCCGCCCCCAGAGGCACGCGCCCAGCGGATGCACTGCGCAGGCGCCGTGGCGCTCTTAGCCCGGCCGGACTCTGCGGGCGCAGGGAGGCTTTTCGGTGGTTTCGCATCTGCATGTTTTTTCGCAGGATACCTTTCCGCACAGAGAGAGCATTCTCTTCCTAGTTGATCCCCCTAACCCCCCCCCCCCCCAGCGCCACTTCCCCCTCCGGAAGTCATCGGCACCTCCCTGAGGGCTTTGTAGGTCTCCAGGCACCAGGCAAGCGACGCTAATGAAGATGAGTCAGCGCAGATTTCCCAGCTGATAAACTCACGACTCATTACCTTTGGTGGTTTTGCACAAAGCCCAGAAAGTTTTGTGAGCTGAGCCTACAGGTCTGGGGTGTCTTTTGGTTCTTCTATATTAAGGAGAATTAAGAGGGAAATTCTCAGTAAGATCCCTATTTCTATTCATTCATTCATTCATTCATTCATTCATTCATTCATTCATTATACACACACACACACACACACACACACACAGACACAGGCAGAAGGAGAAGCAGGCTTCACGCAGGGAGCCCGACGTGGGACTCCATCCCGGGTCCCCAGGATCACGCCCTGGGCCACAGGCGACGCTAAACCGCTGAGCCACCTGGGCTGCCCAAGATCCCTATTTCTTAAGCTAGTTTCCTTAGGAAAGGGGCCAGAGTCATTGCAGTCTCCTGGAATCCCAAAGTGGCTCAGGCTCCTGAGCCAGCCGGAAGATTGGCACTCTCCTGTGACTCAAAACTTTAAGTGTAGCAGGACAGTTGAAGAAAACTTGACCTCGTTTTTTTTTTTTTTTTTTTAAATTTTATTTATTTATTCATGAGATAGACATAGAGAGAGGCAGAGACACAGAGGGAGAAGCAGGTTCCCTCTGGGGAGCCCCATGTGGAACTTGATCCCGGGATCCCTGGGTCAGGACCTGAGCCAAAGGCAGACACTCAACCACTGAACCAACCAGATGCCCCAACTTGACCTTGTTCTTAATAACAGATGTGAAACAGATAAAGATGTATTTTAATGTATGTTTATTTATATATTTAAATGTATATTTATTACTTACAAATACGTTCTAAATAAACCATTCATGGCAGGTTGGCAAAATGTGGTAGACAGTAGTGGTCCAGGGGAAATTTTGTGTTATGTAAGATGACTGGTAACTTATGGTGTGATAGCAACTTGCAATAATTATATCTCGAGCCATGGGTTGAATTAGAAATCTGTCCACTCTTAAAAGAAAAACAAAAACAAACAAACAAACAAAAAAAAAAACCTTAACCATTCTGCTCATCTGCCTGAAGTTTTTTCTCTATTGCACCTTTTACTTTGTAATATATAACATAATTTATTTACTTGTGATAGGTATCATTTATTATTTGGACCACATGAGATTTAAGCTCCATGAAGGCAGGAACTTTTTTTTTCTTCTTACTGTTGTATTTCAAAGGCCAAGAACAGCATTGGCCCAAAGTAAGCACTCAACATACACTCATTGAATAGGTGAGAAAAGAAAATGTTATTTTTCAAAGAGCATGAAGTGGAGCCTAGAGTGGGCTTGCATGATTGGCATGATCTATGTGGAACATAGTTTTGTTCAAAAAATGAATGAATGTTTGTAGAATACCTAGTATACCCCAAATGATAACTTGCCAAATTTCCCATAATTTATCAGCTTTCCTTCATGAAACATTCTGACATTTTATATTTGGGCCTGTGTGGTTCACCTTCATCACATCTTTTACAGTGGTAGTCTTATATCAGATAAATATTTGTTGAAAGAGCAAGGGAGTGAACTGGATTAAGGCATTAGGTTACCTGGGAATTCATTTATTTATCACATGAACAGACACTTGTTTTATAGAATTATGGCCCACAACGGTAGTATTTTATAAATCAACGTCTTTTTCTGAAGGATTTTTAGGTTTCTTCTATGATAACTTTTAGGCTTTCATTCCAGTGGTCCTTCAGAAATTTAACTTATATATTCTAGGCTATCTGGATAACCAAATACTAACAGGAGGTTTCAGTGTCTTTTGAGCATATTAGCACTAATTAGTGTAGTATTTTGTTGCAGGTTAATAAAATAAAAACCAGAAGGAGCCTTTAAAAACCGTAAAAGATTTATTCACCTTAAATGAAGCCTAAATGACAGTGAACTACTCTATCAGAAGATTTCACAGTAGTTTAAAAGGAAAAAAGAGAAGAATGAGTCATAGTATCTGGTAAGATAGGATTGCTAATGTCAGTACCATATTCCTATTCTGAGAGGTGATTTAGTTCGGCCAAGCATAATCATTGATGTTTTTAAATTAATATTTTAAATCTAAATTTTGTTGACTTTATAGGTTTTTTGCACTTATGATTTTGTGGGTGTTTTTTGTAGTGACAAAAACTATAATACAAAGAATTTGAGCTTAAGTTTATATTTGTACATATTTAATAATATCATAATGAAAATGTTTAAATTAGGAACAGGATACCTTAAAAATGTGTTTTTACTTTTAATGGATTTTAATGAGGTGTTACTTTACTCAAGTTTGTGAAAAATAACATTACAAAGTTTTGAGCTTTAGGGCCCAGGACACAGAATATTGACTTTAATGAATTACAGGTGTGACAGTTCACTGAAGGAAAGATGTTTCTGCTGCTAGTAGTGCTTGTGCTGTGAGAAATAGAAGAGAGGGATCTTAGGGAAATGTAGAAAGATTGGTTGGAGAAATTTGAGATAAAATTGGAGCTTTCTTTACAGTTTTGCTTTTGGCTCTGAATTTGTGATTCTCTTTCTTAGTGATTTTTCTCAAATGGCTAAGTGAAATGAAGTGTTTTTGTTTCCAGATTTAAGAGAAGAAAAATGCTAATCAGCACTCCGTAGATAGTACAAATCTCTGGTGTGGAACACTGGGAGACCTAAAGAGCTGTTTAAAGTCATTGTGATAGACAGAGGAAGGAGTTACTATCTGCTCCCCCTCCCCTCAACCCGTCTCTGGTCCTGCACTGGGAAATAGGAATAGAAAGAAAGGAGATGAGGGCTCTGTTTTGTTTACTTTACTAGAAGGGGTACTGGGAGCAGCTGTATTTTAGAGTCGACTTTGCTGCCGTGGCCAGAGAAATACTATCTGGAGTTCAGTCAATCCACAGATATTCATTGAGCACCTCTATGTGCTTGGCATTATGTAGGGGGCTGAAGACAGGGAACAATACAGGGTCCATGTCTTTGGGACTTAGGTAAAACTAATACTTGTTGATTCTGTTGTATTGTGTCCCTCTCTTTGCTTGGTACACTTTAGTTAAATATGCGTGGGCAATGTGAACATTTTTAGTGTACTCTTTATATTGATTTGTCTGATTTCTGGGATGGAATACAAAATTAGAAATTGTAAAGGCTCAGATTAATTTGTTCTTATCTTTCTCTGTTTTTAAGGGGTGTTATGAAAGTTGACATAAATCTTCAGAAAGTGGACATTGACCAATGTTCAAGTGATGGCTGGTTTTCAGGAACTCACAAATGTCACCTTAACAATTCAGAGGTAAGAATGTGAAGATAAAGTCCTCTGAAATCAGAAGCTCAGAAATGTATCACTTTAGAATTCTGTTGTATTTGTGTGGGTAAGTGAACAAGAGGTATCTTACTGAGAAAGAAAAGTATCCTGTGCAGTTCTGAATGTTGAAATGTGAACTGAAAGAGGGGTGGAAAATTTTATGCACAATAACTGTTTATTTGGGGAGTAAGAGAAAACTGAAACTAAAAATACGCCTGAAGTTTGTATTTAGTCAAAGGCTGACCCTATTCTTCAAAATGGGCTAGAAATTAAAATAGCCATGAAGTGAGAAACCCAGGAGGGGTCAACCAATGCATATTTATGCACATATTTATGCAGTATGATTCTTGTTGAAACACTGATGCTATACATTCAGACATGCTGCCATCTGCTAGAAAAGCAATAAAGTGTGGCAGGGCAATTTGGAAAACAAGGAGAAAACTATTCAGGGCCCTGGATAAGAAATATATATATTTGTGTATGATTTTCAGTTTTCAGCCCTTGTCTGTGCCTGATTTCATGGGACTCTGGTTGGTGAAAAAGCAGGCATAGAGATCAAACTTTTGGAAATAAGACTGCTACTTGTCTTTTGTAGTTTCAGAGAGGAAATGTGATTACATCCTGATTTTATTTCCAGTAATCTATCTCTCAGATCCCCAAATGCTCTGAAACAACTGTATAATAAAAATCTTGATCTTAAATACTTATATTATCCCAACTTTGAGTCCATGAATTTGTGAGGAAGATCAGCTTAAAAAATTTTATTTTAAATACAGGCAATATTGCCTTAAATGTAGTAATTTAAATCTTCATTTTTAATTCTTGTTCTTGTGAAAGATGGTTTTATACAGTGCATTTTTCTTACTATCGGATATGATGCTCTTTATTTTTTATTTATTTTTTAATTTTAATTTCAGTATAGTTAATATACAGTGTTGTATTAGTTTCATGTGTGCAGTATAATGATTCAATACGTAGTGCACCACCACAATATCTCTTAACTCTCTTACCCGCTAAAAGCCCTCATTACTCCACATATCCCTCTAATCATCACACATCCTTACCATACCCCCTGACTTCCACTTCCTTAATGCCCCCTCTACATTACCACACATCCCCTACCCCCTCCGACATTTCTTTACATCTCGGCATAGTCAACCCTTCACAAAGCCCTCAATTCCTTCACCTCCCCGCCCCCCCAAATTTGGATTCGGATTATGTAAGTGAAATGTTTCAGTCTTATCAATTTTGTAAGTTAAGTCCTCTTTTTGCTTCCTTTCACTTTTTGTTCTTATGATTTTGAACTTTTCTGAGTTTCTACTCCCCTTTGGATGATGCTGGCATTTCTAAAGATACAAATTTCAATCACTGATCTAGTGAACATCTTTAGTTTGATTATTATCTCTATGCCAAAAGCGTATACCCATTTAGGTTTGTCTTTTAGCCAGGGTGAAATTTTTTCTGCCTGGGTGTTGTAGTGTGAATATTGATCTGTATGTGCTCATTTCTGTATAGCCTTGTTTCAGTGGTGCTCCTGGTTGGTTGAAATAAGCAGTCTGTCTACAGACAAGGAGGCATTTACTTTTCAGTTTGAGACAATGGCTGCTTGGCTCTGATAATCTTGGTAGAGTGGTATTCCCCCCCCCCCCATAGTACATCTATTTGACTAGCTAGTTATATTGCAAGAATCTCTTTCTCCTCTGGAAGATTGATTTACTTTCATTATACCAGGATTGTTAATTACCTTTTTTTTTTTTTTTAAAAAAAAAAAAGCTTTCAAATAAACTAAGTTATTTCAAGATAAAATACTATCCTCTGTTCTGGTTAAGAAAGATTATGTTGAAATGTGTAACTTTTTGCATTATATGGGAGCATTATATTTATTAAATCCCTATAGGGAAAACTAGGAAAATATATCCTACAAGACTAATGACAGTTCAGTGAATTTCATTCGAAAATGTTGTCAAAAGAGGCTCAATGATGGGGTGCCTGGGTGGCTCAGTTGGTTAAGTGTCTACCTTGGGCTCAGGTCATGATCCCAAGGTCCTGGGAAGGAGCCCCACATCAGGCTTCCTGTTGAACAGGGAGCCTGCTTCTCCCTCTTTGTATGCACCTTCCTCTTGTGCCTCTGTCTTACATAAATAAATAAAATCTTAAAAAATATGGCTCAGTGATAAAAAAATAACATCAATAAACAGTGAATGTACAAAATGCATATTTTGACTTAGACTCTGGCTCTCTCTGTCTACCTTCCCTTGCCAGGTGCTAGAATTGGGAGTGGGAGACAGTGTTCTGGGTTAGGCCCATGAGGCCCTTGATGAGTAGTCTGACTCACACAGGGCTTCCTTGGAGCTCTTCACACCATTTTGTTGGGCTTCTCTAAGGTCCTTTCGTGGGTGCTGGTCACTCTAGGCACCTGCAACAATTCCATATCCATACCACATCTTCAGTCTGTGGACTAGCAGTGGTCTTTCAGTCCTTCCCTGGGCTGATGTGAGTTAGAGACGAGGAACTGGCTTCTCTTGATCTTGAAAGCAGGAAGAAAAATCACATGTTCAGGGTATTTTTCATCTACAGTGTCTCCTTCATTCTTTGTCACATACCTTCTGTAGTGGACCCCGAGGATCACTATTAAACTGGTTTATTTTGGGAGGTAGTTAACATGATTCATATTTGTAGGGTATAGGGGCCTATCTTTATGAATATCCATGTCATTAGAAACAGATACTCAGCATGTTTATTGTGGGTTTTAGCTAATGTTTAACATTCTTCTCTTATAAATAGTAGTGGAAGTCACACATTTTAGGTATATTGAGGCAAACTTTTTACTTTTAAAATGTTTCTGATGTATTCCATATTTAGCCTCCCGGGTGTCTTAAACCAGAATACTGAGTCTGTTGGAAACAGGTAAGTGGCATGTGACCAATGACAAAAGCCTCATAGCATTTTAAAAAGGCATAGAATGGTTTGTGAGGAAAATAATTTTTTAAAAAGATTTTATTTATTTATTCATGAGAGACACAGAGAGAGGCAGAGACACAGGCAGAGGGAGAGGAAGAAGCAGGCTTCATGCAGGGAGCCCAACACGGGACTCAATTCCAGGTCTCCAGGATCACACCCTGGGCTGAAGGCGGCGCTAAATCACTGAGCCACCTGGGCTGCCCAGGAAAATAATTTCTCAATGAGTTTGAGTCCTCACAGAGACTAGGAGGCCACCAAGTATTTTTTGAAGGGCATAGTAAAACAGGATCTGGACCAACATCCTGAACTGGATTACAGGATTATTCTGGCTGTTTTTGTAAGGGATCCAGATCATTGCAACAGGGACTTGATCATGTTGTCAGTATTCATTTAAATAATTCTTGGCCTATTTTCATATCATTGTTTGTGTTGAGTACACAAAATCCTCTTGCAGAATGGTTTATTAAAAACATTAAAATAAATGGATATTCATTTTTGTTTTAGATGTTTCTTTTGCTTTGTTTCCATTATAAGAACTTTTTAAAATCACTCTTCAGAGTAGGATGTGGCCCTGAAACTTTTTGATTATATTCTATTAGTAAAAGTGGTCTAAGTATCCATCCATAGTATGTGTATTTTTAATCTAAAAGGTATGATTTTTTTCTTGTATTTATAAATTCTGTATATTATAAATTATAAAACTTAGAGTGAGATAAAGATAAACTAATATTTTAATATAGGTCATATATTATAAAAATTTTATCTTAAATGATAATAAATTAACTGATTTACAGTGTTTTAAATCTTAGTTTAATACTTAGTAATGCAGGGGTCCCTGGGTGGCTCAGTTGATTAAGTGTCTGACTTCAGCTCAGGTCCTGGGATGACTTCAGCCCCTTGCATCTGGCTTCCTGCTCAGCGGGGAGTGTGCTTCTCCCTCTCCCTCTATTCTCTCTGCCTCTCTCAAATAAATAAATAAAATCTTAAAAAAAAATACTTAGTAATGCAATGATTCAGAGGTCTCTAAGTTCAATTTATTTTTATACTTTCTTTAATGTCTGTCATGGTTGAAAATATGACTTCAAGGGTATGTCATTCCAAATTGTAGAAATATTTGTTGACTGTGTTTGCTAAATGACACTGTTCATTTTTCAGTCCCATGTACCAATTTTGCAAAGATTTTGGAAAATTCAGCTGGCAGTTTTTCATCTAACCTGATGTCAGTTGGTCCTTACAAATTATTTGGAAAGCTGGGCATTTTAATATTTTAGGGGAATAGGTTAAAAAGTCCACTCACACTTTTATGAGGAATATTTTCAAACAGATTAGGAAATTTTATTTTCAACTCTAAACTATATAGTTATTGAGTACTTATAGTTTTTTGGCAGCAAAAGCCACATAACACTGAAAACATTTCCAAATAATGCATTTTCAAAATGCTCACTTCAGAAGGCTTTCTCATGGATTATTAAACTGTCACTTTTACTTTGAAGGAACAGCTTATATGTGTTTTTGAAAATACCTGCTACATAGGCACTAGTGACAACCACTTGCTATTGTAGAGCAGGTCAGCAAATTTGGAGCATTTGTTTTCTTTATTTTTATTTTTTAAAAAGATTTTATTTATTCATGAGAGACACACAGAGAGGCAGAGACATAGGCAGAGGAAAAAGCAAGCTCCCTGCCGGGAGCCTTATGTAGAACTAAATCCCAGGACCCTGGGATCCTGTCCTGAGCCAAAGGTAGACGCTCAACCACTGAGCCACCCAGGTGTCCCCATTTTCTTTTCTTTAAAAGAGTAATGCATAGCCTTTGAGTTTAAAAACAAGTAGCTCCCTTTGATATAATCAGAAAATTTTTGTGTGGGAAAAGGTCTTCCGGGTTATGCACCATCTCATTTTGAAGAATTGTAAATATTTTATGATTTAAAATAATATACTCTGTGAACCCACTTAGACAGTCAAATGTAAATGCTAATACATGGAAATTTGAAAACAGATGAAGGAACCAGTTAACCACTGTTGATG